GACAATCAACATGATGAAGTATCTGCCCGTATCGGAAGAAAGGCTTCTGCAGATTCAGCGAGATACCGAAGCAGATGACTCTCTTCAAGTGCTGAAAGCTGCGATTCAGGAGGGCTGGCCAGAGCATAAGAGTAACGTGCCTAGTGTCATTTCTCCTTACTTCAACATGCGTGATGAGATGTCGATCCAGGATGGTCGCATCTTTAAGGGAGAACGCGTCGTGGTTGCACGAGCGTCGACGAGTGAGCTGTTACGACAAATTCACAACTCACATCTTGGGGTTAATGGCTGTCTAAACAGAGCCTGTGACTGTCTCTATTGGCCCGGGATGACAGCTGGCAATGAGTGGCTGCAGATTTGTTTCAGCTTGAAGGAAAAACCTACTTAGTCACGTCAGATTATTACAGCAATTTCTTTGAACTGGACCATTTACGGTCTCCTTCGTCGGTGTGTGTCATCCGAAAGGTAAAGGCCCACTTTACGCGCCACAGCATTCCCGAGCAGCTGGTGATAGATAACGGTTCACAATTTACGTCACGCGATTTCCTGAAATTCGCGAAAGACTGGGACTTTGAACATCTGACAAGCAGTCCACACCACAGCCAAGGAAATGGTCAAGTAGAGAGTGCAGTGAAGGAGGCTAAGAAAATTCTCAGAAAGTGCAAGTCCAGTGGATCGGATGCTTTTCTAGCCTTACTCGATCATCGTAACACCCCATCTGCCGGTATCCAAATTAGTCCAGCACAGCGCCTCTTAAACAGAAGGGCTAGAAGTCTACTACCAATGACAGCTAACCTGCTCGCACCACAGGCAGTTCCAGACAATGAGCGGTGCCAAGCCAAGCTTGAACAGCGCAAACAGCGACAAGCTCAGTATTACAACAGAGGGGCTATTGATCTGGATCCGTTAAAGAGAGGAGATACTGCGAGACTGAAACCGTTCCAGTTGGGCAAGCGCGAATGGCAGAAAGGAATTGTACGAAAGCGACTGGATGAGAGATCGTACGAGGTTGAGACGCCTTACAATGTTGTGCGTCGCAACCGTGTTCACCTACGTTTGACAAATAAGCCATCACCGCCATTAACAGACGAGATGCCTAATGAGATATCTGCTGAGGTATCAGAGGTGCCCGCTCCCTCTTTTGCACAGTCGTACGAGTCGCAGACTAGTTCTTCTGGAGAAGTTAGTCTACCCACGTCAAGTCAAGGAAGTTCGTCTCCGAGTGGCCCGGAAGTTCCTTCAGCTGCAGTGACGTCACCACCCAAGCTGGTGCTTAGACGATCAGCGCGTCAGCGACGTCCACCAAAACACTTAAATGACTTTGTTTTGACATGAAGCCATGAACACTAAGAACACTATGCAGCGGTTACTTCTTCCAATTTCCACAGATGAACCACGTTTTGTGTCAGATAACCTGTTACAGTCTGGAGAAGACTCGAATGAATTTGAAGAGTACTTTGGCTACATTATGGCCAACAGCAACTTCGTTATTCCAAACAATTGGAGAGAGGCCGAGTCACTATATCTTCAATTTATTGTCAGTCGATGCTATGCAGTGACAGATCTTAATGCAAAATTTTTAAAGTAGCAACAGAGTAAATACTGCACTTAGAAGCATATCCTTTTTTCTTGTACTGCGAAGGTCGTCATTAAAGGTCCTCGCACTGTGACTTTGTTATCGTTATAACATTTTTTTGCAAACTGAAGTGTCTGACTCATATACTACTCCAGGATTACGGTGTCCGAAGTAACTTGCACTGGTTCCAGTAAATTTTACACTGAGAAGTACATCTAAGTGAAATAATAGAAAAAGCAACTCCTGTTTTGAATACATAGGATTTAAGCATTAGTATGAAAATTGGCACGAAAAGTCTTTCACAACTGTCTCGCCAATGATCCTCGATCCGCTTATGAGACTTGCACGCACGGGATCATGGTTGTATTCATCATGCACATGCCATCTTCAAGATTTCATCTTTGAGCGCACGAAGATGATTACAGCTACCGCGATTCCCTGCGCACAAGTCTCAGAGAGGGAATCAGGGATTGGACGCAAAGCCGATATCTTTAGCTACAATCAATCGCAGCACATTGATAAAGTCGTGAAACAAAGCCATTTTCCCGTTATTTTACGGTTTAATAGAAGTTGAGCGGAGCTTCTCTTCCTTCTGAGGAAGGAGAGTATACATGGAGGGAATTCCTGCTTTAATGAGCACCTCATAGTTGGGGGCTTTGTCCTTTCATGTTTTCCCGAGATTGCGGCGTAGATATCTCATATGAATTGATAAATGACCAATCGAATTCATTTCATTTTAAACTAGAGGGGTTTTTATATCTAGGGGGAGGGGGAGGGGATTATAATCTAAAGTAATATTTTGTTTACAGGTAAATAGGATTATAACCGGGAGGGGCTTATAAGCGAGACGGTTTACAAGCAGAATCTGAGGGCTTATAAGCGGCGGTCACGGTCTTCGTTTCGCGCCCCAAAATTCCATTCACGGGTCGAATAAGAAGTTAAATAATAATTTCAATTGATTCCCCTTTTAGCTCCAGAAAGAATGAGTTGTCAGTTATTGTTAAAATCCCAGTTGCACCTTTGGAAAAATAAATCAGTGCTCATATCTGGCTCAGCAGATGATTAAAAACGAAGTCTGCTCTAACCTGGCAATAATGAACAATAAATCGATCAGGATATTAACCGTGGAATAATATGATTAATTCAGTATCTGTTGTCATTATTGGGTGGCGATGTAGATTCGATGATTATTTGACCAGGTTGAAACGAATTGAAGATCTCAAACAAAGTCGACAGAAGATACTCCTTTCGTGAATTCTGCAAAGGTAACTTGTTTCAACTGTTTCGTAAACGCAGATAATGATTCATAAGTTACTTGGCCTCCATGCAGTTCGAATTCTATTTGGTACGTTGTTTTCTTTAGTCCGGATAACTAACCGTACTGAAGCTAACAACTCTAACATGAATTAAAGTACAGACTGTTCAAGGGAAGAAGAGCAATTTTCCCTCAATTTTGACGAAATTGCGAAGATTGGAAGGGTCAAAACATTTCTTCAAACTTTACATAAGTTTATTCACTTGCAAAGATTGTTGATAACACATGCACGTAAGTTTTGAATAACCCTGAATTTTCGGGAAAAATTTCATATCCGAAGAACGCATGGAATCGGCTAAAATAGCCTTCTGAGAATATATAGCGGTTTTGTCACGTCACCGTTTTTGGATTTAACCTTAATTGTTTTTTAATTCCAAAGCAGAAGAAGCTGTCTGGAAAAGCCAGAGACAGGGATGATTCAAAAAATTAACAGTCTGTGATTATATTGTTCAATTTTTTTGTCTCGAGGTATAAATTTGAACAATAATTAGGGCCATGCCTATCCCTATAGGCGAATCTTTGCTGACGTCATTGTTTACATTTTTCCTCATTAACATATTCGCATAGAAGGCATCATGCTAGACACTATTTTACTAGAAAAACTTGAAGAGCTTGTGAAACTTAGTAAGTGGTGAAATTTTTGGCTCTTTGGGTGTAATTCGAGGAGAAATTGGCTTTCAAAAACATCAAAATTTCTGTGTGGCAAAAGCGCTAATGAGCTTATACATTCTTTGTAAAATTTTGAGATTTTAAACCCGCGTCGCACAAAAAGTATTCAATACATCGCGCTCAAATTCCTTGGGACACTRAATCGTGCTGTGCCCTTTCAATATTCAGTATTAATCTCTTTGTAGCTCCATCAGAAACTGTATCGCTTATGGTAATGGGGCAAATATTGTAAACAAAGATTCTCCTATATATCGTTAGGAAATTCTTCCTTAGTTTACAAAATACAAGAAAGGCTTTGTAACTTAATTTTAACCTTCAGAAGCAATAAGTGCCTTTTCCGTTTTGTTTTTCTTTTTGCGCGCATACCAGCGGAAGATATCGATTGGCTTCTGTCACTGCCAGTCATTTAACGATTCCTTTCAGCGACAGAGAAAAGTACTTGCCTTGATCTAATTGGACAAAAAACAGCTGACGAACCGAATTAAAAATTACTCAGTTTGTATTCCTTTCAAAACTTGACAGTAGGCGTGGGTATTCACCTTTCAATTGCAACATGGCCTGAGAGGTTCTAGAGGAGAGCACTCTTTTCCTCATTTCTTTTCCTCACTTCTCTTTCTTTGATTTGCCACAATTTTGCCACAATTGATTTGAGTTCTTTGTGATCCGAATTCGCCAGAAAATTGCAGTTTATATCACCTATCAAAATGCATT